TATGTCTGGACCTAAGAGGTTTGTATTCTTCAATGTGTATTTTGCACTCGTTTCATAATTTCTTTCCTCATAATCATGTGTAATTGGCCTTCTTGGCAGACCTCACGATCGTGTGCCTTTGAAAGACATGAAAGTTGATTGGCATGCATGTCTTGACAACAAGGTTGGGTTCAAGGTGAGTTGTTAACCTCAGCACTCCCTTAAAATTTTCCCAATGTTGCTTCTTTCTCATTAAAGAGAAAAGAAATTTCCCATTGTTGCTGATCCTAGCATAAATTTTAAACTTCCGATGGACTTGAGCAAAGACTAGTAGTTTTAACATGCTCTATTTTCATGTAATTTTATTTGATGACACTACAGTTGCAATTCTGTTTATCGTGTGCCATCCTTCCTAATGTTTTACTGAATGCAGGGATTTGCCATACCAAAAGAGGTGCAAGACAAGGTGGCAAAGTTTTCATTCCATGGACAGCCGGCAGAGCTTAAGCATGGTAGTGTTGTGATTGCTGCAATCACAAGCTGCACCAATACATCAAACCCTAGTGTCATGCTTGGAGCTGCCCTTGTTGCGAAAAAGGCTAGTGAACTTGGTCTACAGGTGAGGCAAGCTTACAGTTCTCATAAAGAACCTGCTCTTTTTTTCTTTCTTTTGTCTGCAATATGGATTGTGCAAGAGAACTCCCGTTGTCTTTGTAATGATTGAATGTTGATTAACCAATGACTCAGGTTAAGCCATGGGTGAAAACTAGTCTTGCCCCTGGTTCTGGAGTTGTTACAAAATATTTGCTCAAGAGGTAATTTTCTGTCTCTTGAGAATGAAATTTATTAATGTATAGATACAAGTTACTTATTGAATTTTAATCTTGATGCAGTGGATTGCAAAAGTATTTTGATCAACAAGGTTTTCAAATTGTTGGATATGGGTGCACAACATGCATTGGGAATTCAGGGGACTTGGATGAAACTGTTGCTTCTGCTATATCAGAAAATGGTAATGTTGAAGTATTAATGTTCATTATCTTTGCACAAAGGTTATATGTTTTGTTTAACTCAAGAAAATTCACTTGTTACATGAATTAACATTTCCTTGACAAGAACTGATGCCCCATTTAATTAGTTTTTACTTCATCTCTAGCTTGTCTATCTAAAATTCTCTCACCTTCTGTTGCAGACATTGTAGCAGCTGCTGTGCTCTCTGGAAACAGAAATTTTGAGGGTCGTGTTCATCCATTGACAAGAGCTAATTACCTTGCCTCTCCTCCTTTAGTGGTTGCTTATGCCCTTGCTGGAACAGTATGTCATACTCACTATATAGTGCAATTCTTTATTTATTATATCATATAGGCGACTTAAGTTTCTGGTTGAGTGATTCAACTTCATGTATAGACATTAGTTAACTACCTTAGTTTATTCCAAGAACTTCCTTGCTTCATCCCCTTTATTCATTGCATAAGCCAAACCCATTGTATATAATTTTACTTGCTTGGAAAGATGAATTACTTTTGATGGGGTTGTCTTTTATATTTCTGTTATGTGCCTCGGTGTGCTCCCTAACGATTACAGTTTTTTCCTATCCGAAGAAGTGATAACACTTTCTTTTTAAATAACTATTTTATACCAAGAAAGTAATGAGAGGGACAATGGATATGGGATCACAAGCTATATAGTTTATATTCCTAGTTATTTATTACTTTGTCAAATTTTCTTTTCATGCTATTGAGTCAGGAGAATACTCTGGAACGATTTTATTTCAATTTCTATGGTATCTGCACCTCTCTTTATTCTGGTAGCAAATAATTATTAAAATTCCTGTAATTTGGAGCCCACTATCCATCATTATGAACTGTAAAAAATGGTTTGCTGGCCTTTTTTTAACTGTTTTCTTAGCAACAGATATTTATAAGACATTGCTGGGGTCTGGAAGCATTATGAAATAGTTTTTGCTACCTGTTCTCTTTATCCCATTTCATGAACTACTATAATGAACACCTTAAATAGCTTGAGTGAGTTTTGATTATGTTTTAGCCAGTGTGTACGCAGTCATTTGTTTGCATCCATTTTATGATCCAATCAATCACCCACATGAGTTAACGCTAAAATTTTATTTTTCAGGTTGACATTGACTTTGATAAGGAGCCAATTGGAACAGGGAAGGATGGTAAGAGCGTTTATTTCAGGGATATCTGGCCATCTACTGAGGAGATTGCGGAGGTGGATATTTATTAGTTTGGATTTCTTGTGATATTTTGCTAATGAAACTTTAGTAGTATATGAAATGAACTCGTGAGTGTGTATACTTTGTAGGTAGTACAATCAAGCGTGTTGCCGGATATGTTCAAAAGCACTTATGAGTCTATTACCAAGGGCAACCCCACGTGGAATGAGCTATCAGTTACAGATTCCAAACTGTACTCTTGGGACCCTAATTCAACCTACATTCATGAGCCCCCATATTTCAAGGGTATGACTATGGATCCTCCTGGCGCAAAGGGAGTGAAGGATGCGTACTGCCTGTTGAATTTTGGTGACAGTATTACAACAGATCACATCTCCCCAGCAGGAAGCATCCACAAGGACAGTCCTGCAGCAAAATACCTTCTTGAGCGTGGGGTGGATCGCAAAGACTTCAACTCTTATGGTAGTCGTCGTGGCAATGATGAAGTCATGGCAAGGGGAACCTTTGCCAATATCCGCATTGTTAACAAGCTTTTGAATGGAGAAGTGGGCCCTAAAACAGTTCACATTCCTACAGGAGAGAAACTCTATGTGTTTGATGCAGCAACAGTGAGTTTACTTTCACCAATTATTTGCACAAACTTCCATTTTTGTTTTCCTTGTACTCTTGAATGAAGTGGCCCATTTTTCTATTTTGCTGTAGAAACGCATTATTTGTTACCATGCTTTCAGTATTTTCTACTTCTTGGTGAATTCACTGTCCTTAGTTCAGCAAGAACAAAAATTCTTGCTTTTGCCTAATGGCGTCTTTTAGTTTTTCTGATAAATTTGGTTACAGTACTGATCATTGTGGGAACTGGAGGCACTAGTTAGTCATTTTTGAGATGCGACAATATACTTTATAACAATGTTTAAACTCCAGTTTCACTAGATCTTTTAAATCAATCTCTATTTCCATTTCAGAGATACAAGGCTGATGGGCATGACACCATTGTACTGGCTGGAGCTGAGTATGGAAGTGGAAGCTCTAGGGATTGGGCTGCCAAGGGTCCAATGCTATTGGTGAGTTTTTTTATGCAGCCATTTGATTTGAACGAGTTTGTAAGTTTTCACTATGGTTTTTCTCGTCTGGTTGAGTAACTTTTGGCATGCAACAGGGTGTTAAAGCGGTTATTGCTAAAAGTTTCGAGAGAATCCATCGTAGTAATTTGGTGGGGATGGGTATTGTTCCACTTTGTTTCAAGGCCGGCGAGGATGCTGATACACTAGGATTGACTGGTCATGAACGTTATACCATTGACCTCCCTAGCAGCATTAGTGAGATAAAACCCGGCCAAGATGTGACTGTCACTACAGACAATGGGAAATCTTTCACCTGCACTGTACGCTTTGACACTGAGGTACTTAACTACTTTGTTCATCCTTGTATTATATTTGCTTTTGTATAATTGCATTTTATGCTAAAAACAATTGAAGCATACTGTATTTTTTTTTTTGTGCGAAAAATTATCCGCTTCTCCATAGATGCAAACTATTTTGTTCTTTTTCTGTTTGGTGTTCAATGCTGGTTTTGTCAGCACAAGTATTTCAGTAAAGATCTCTTTGTAGGTTTCTCATAATGTGATTTGATTGCATTTTCAGGTGGAATTGGCTTATTTCAACCACGGAGGTATTCTTCATTATGTGATCAGGAACCTGAGTAAGCAGTAATTGCATAGCTTCGCTGTTCAGAGGACTTGCTATCCGCATCATGCAAGCGTTTTTAATTGTAAAATGTGAGGGAGCAAATAAAGTTCCAAATAATAGGAAAAAGGTCCCATTTTCGGGGGAGAGAGGTATTTATTTTTGGATAAATTCGTCATCTTAACACTGCCCAGGCTGTGCAGGCATGTTGGTTGGTCGTTGAATAGGGCACAAAATAGTTTCGAGCAATATAATCTTTTACTATTTCCAATTGTTGCCATACCTTGGGGTTTCAAGGTGCCATGATTATAGGCAGTGTTATGTCTTTCGAACAGTGATCTAATCAATGTGAGTTTTGTTCATGCATGCTCAATCTCTATCAACAATTGGTGCAGTTTCCAATCCAACTGTGCATATGCTAAATTTGATAGTTTCCCGGTGAATAACTATTTGCAGCCACCTGTTCACTTCTTTTTACACCCACTGTTTAATGAATGTATTAGTGGCAAAATATTTACTTGGTTAAATGACTTCTCTATGAACTCCGATAGAAAAATAAAAGGAAAAGGAAAATGATAACATCATCTTCTCAATCTCCCCAACCCAATGTTTTCTGCTGTTCTCGGAGTGTGACGTATAAGAATTGACTTGGACTCAATTTCAATATAATTCAAGCCAAACAACTAAATCAAACCTAATAGGGACAATATTTTGTCGATGATGTGGTGGTAAAAGAGGATTATTATTTTTTGAGATACGGTGGGGGAGGATGTGGAAAAAAGATAGGAATGATGAAAATAGCAGCACTTGTAACTATACATGAACATTTTATAATGGTTTTGAACCCTTGATTATGGCCAATCTGAACATATAAAAAAGGTGCATCCAATTGTCCTCACATCAAAGATTTGGCCTGGCACGACTTTATCTAATAATTTTAGGCTTGATATGAAACACGCATGCACGAATTGCTTTTAACGAGAAATGCAAGAAAGAGACATCATCATACATATACTGTGTGGCAAATTGACAACTTTGCCAATTAGCGAAACCCAACAGAAATTCAAATACTTGTATATTTAGCTTTGAAAAATTAGGTCATGTTTTCCTTATTATTTATAATTCAACCAAACTGTATATACATAAATACAGAAAGCTACAGCTGAGGGATTTCTCAAATAATCATCTGTGTACGGCCCATCATGCATTGTATTTCAATAATCCGAACCATCTAATTTTTAATTATTCTATCAAAAATATATCTACAAAAAATCACTTGAATCCAACATAATTTGACCATTTAATTAAATTGTTGTTATTGTTTGTCTATTTTGTTTGTTCCAATTGATGCCTTGATGATTTTTAATTTTCCTAATTTTTTGCAAGGATGATATGAAGACTTGAAAAATAGACAGTTTGGATCATTGAAAAAAAAAATCATAGGGTACTATACATAATATAAAATTAGAGTGATCCTCAAATAAAATTATTTGAAGAATTCCTTAATGGACTGTACATATATGTATATCAAATTGTCTCTTTAGTCACGAGCTCTCGTTAGGAAGGCTCATGGAAAATTGAAACGAATGCACCACACCCCTTTTTAAAAAGGTCCAAACATCAAAATCGACCCAAAAAAGAAGTTCTCAACATCACATATATACTTACGTTAATATTAACTCAACAATATCGTACAATATTTGATCATGACATGGTTTTTGATGCCAAATATAATCAACAACTTTCTACTTCTACAATTAATGAAAAAGAGCTAGAGAGAGAATTACAAAATGATCAATCTTGGTCCTCTGGAATGCTCTCTAAAGTTGGGCTCCAGCCACTACCTGTGCTTTCATCATTGCTTGTTCCAATCTCAGAAACCCTTGTTCCTCTGTTCCTCACTGCACTCAACAATTGCTCCAAAGAAGAATGGTTTGAATCTTTCTTGTAATCCAGAAGTTGTTTCAACTCCTCCTGAGTCACCACCAGTCTAATTCTCACCACCCCATTTTTAGTAGATTCACCAGAAACAAGATTTCCTCTACCGCTATCTTCATCTTCTTGCAAATCAAACCTCACAGACTTCCTCTTTAGCTTCAGATTGGATGGCAATGGCATTGGTGCTGTCTTTTTGGCTTCTAGGGTTTTGGCTTCCTCATGCTTCTCATGATCTTGTGCTGAAACCTTGTTATTACTTCTTCTCAAGCAATTCCCCATTTATGAGATATCAGAAAGAGAGAAAAAACAAGAAAAATTCTTGACACAGAGAGAATATATGAGAGAGAGAGAGAGAGAGAGAGAGAGAGGGGTGACAAAGTGAAGCATAACTATATTATATATAGAGAGAGTTTGGGAGCAGAGAAAGCACATGATGCAGCGTTTGTTGCGCCGGGTATTTCAAAGGACAAAGAGGGCTTAACAGTTTAATCATTGCTTGAGACCAAATAAATTAAGCATTCTCATATTACCAGTATCTCTTTGTTTTATGTGATTTTATGTTATCTTAACGTAACCGTTTGTTAAGCTCAATTTAATTTGAATTTAATTTAATTTTTAAATATTAGTCAACCAGAACCACAGTAGTAATTAATTAATGCGTTTATATCGAAAGCCATAAGTATCTGCTTTGATACTTGTATTAGATTAAGATTCCTTCCAATATCAGTCCAAGATATAACTTATCATAGCTTAAACTTAAATTAAGTTCCTCTAATCACTGCTAAACATGAGGCAAAGCCACTGTAGATGACACCAGATGATGTTTTAATTAAAAATTTCTTGTTAATGGTAATGGGTAGGTCTGTTTCTACATATTTGTTGGATTCTATGCAAATATGCATACCTCCAAGAGAGCATCCATCAGAAATTAAAGTATGCAACAAAATTAAGTTGGTGTATATTCCAGCTCAGATCATTGTTGTTTATTCCTAATCTTATATCTAGCTAGTTACTTCGATGACGATGATCTGATCTAATTATGATTATGATCATGATCCTTTGTATGAACCGATCATATCGAATTCGGACACGTAAGATGTACACATGCAAATGAATTGGAAGAGAGACCAAAATAAATGCTTGATAGGTATACGTCTTCACCTGCAAATTTTGCTTCCACCAACTTTTAACTACTTTCGATTACAAAATTAAGCATATATAATAATAATGTAGCAACCCCTCCAACCATGTACACCAAGTTCATCTAACGAATTAAAGTGTCCAACACTAGTTTTTATAATTGGAATTGATGATGAACTGGCTTTTTCTTTTGCTTATATAGCTGTTATAATGATGACGCACAGAGAACAGACTTGATGGTTGCTTGGAAAGATCATACTACTAAACCAGCAGGTAAAATACAACACAAGTCAAAAGGCAAACAATTAATAACATATGTTCGAAAAATGTTCTATCGAGAGACTGTGAATCTAGACCATTAATCCGCTTAATGACATGTCAGATTGGGAAATTTGGATCAATAGTCGGGTTGGTAGGTTATTGTCTGAATGTGTATAATTCAAATTCACACTCTGACATGGAATTTTTATGTAATAATATATGAGTATGACGAGACAACTTTACTCAAGTTAGATGCGGACGTAACTTAAATAGCTTAGCTAGCAAAGGGTGGTGGGGGTGGGGTTGGCTGCACGTGATCGTGAGATGCTTTGCATGGGAGAGGTGGGGTTCACTGCATATCATGTGCATTTGCATTACGTATATGCCATGATTTCAGGGTCGTTGAAATTTAAACTTGAAATAATAGATGTGAGGACGAGGGAGGGGTCTTACGCGTTAAAAGCAGAGTGGCTTTAGTCTTCAGAAGCATCCTTTCACATGGCGTCAGGTCTTTGTGTTCAAATTGAATTCATATTTTTGTCAATAATAATGGGAGACAAACCACCTTTCACAAAGGCATCAGAAACCCATTTTAAATATGGACTTGTTTTATGGCTCTTCTTTGACTATGTGACACTTACTTCTACTTCACATTTTATCCCAATATTCTACCACCGAAAAATAAGGAAATATAAAAAATTGGAAAGAAGAAAGATAGGTTTGGCCAATGCTGCGTCTGCCTCTATGCATCCGAGTTTGATTCTTTTTCGCGTACATTAGAGCAACTTAAAATATCAATTTGTTAAAACAGAAAAATTAAAAAAAAATTGGTTTATTGATTTATTAAGGGCTACTTTTACTTTACTTATTTTGGTCAAAAGGGCTTACTTCAAATTAAACACATTTTAGTAAAGAACTTTGGTTTGGGGTGACTATTGATAAAACCAACGTTAAAAGAAAATGGCTTACTATCACAAAACGTCCCTAAGATTTACGAAATTATCAAATTGCATCCTTAATGTTTTTTTTTTTTTGTCATTCGTGATCCTCAAGGTTAGCATGTGTGATCACAAATGGTCCCTGCCGTTAGGTTTCCTAAAAAACTCCGTTAGTTTGCTGACGTAACATATATATATATATATATCACAAAACATTCCTGAGGTTCACGCACCTATCACAAATGGTCTATGTAAAATTTTGTAATTTTGTAATTTAAAATTCATAAAATTTTGGTTTTCTTTTTAAAATTATTTAAAGATATATATTGTATTTTGAATACACATGGCACTATATTTTGAAGATGTGGGCTCTATATATATGCCACATCAACAAACTAATGAAGTTTTTATAAAATAATTTAAAATTCATAAAACCTCATAATGGTCCTCAATGTTAAATTTTGGTTGTAAATGATTTTTAAATTTTTTAAATTTTAAATTATTTTTTTTAAAAAAACTTCATTAGTTTGTTGATGTGGCATATTTGTGAAGCCCACATCTTCAAAAATATAGTGTCATGTGTTTAAAATACAATATATATTTTTAAATAATTTTAAAAAGAAAATCAAAATTTTATGAATTTTAAATTAAAAAAATTTCACAGGGACCATTTGTGATAAGTGCGTTAACCTCAGGGATGTTTTGAGATATATATGTATATGCCACATCAGCAAACTAAAGGAGTTTTTGACGGAACTTAACGACAGGGACCATTTGTGATCACACATATTAATCTTAAGGACTACGAATAACAAAAAAATAAATAAGGATGCAATCTGATAGTTTCGTAAACCTTAGAGATATTTTGTGATATTAAGCTAAATAAAATACTCTAAATTGCTTGCATCCGACGGTCCTCTCCTTCTTTTCTGACCGGCATCGGACGGGTCAAAAGCCGCCATGCCGCACTAAACCGCAACACAACTTGAAATACTCAAGCAACCGCTCACGTGCCCGCTCTAAAGGCTTGGGTCTTCGGCACGTGATCATCTCTGACTTCTACCGTAACACGTGCTTCCCTCTATCACACGTGTGAACTGCGCAAGTGCCGGGAGAAGGGGAGCGGAGAGAGAGAGAGACAGAGGGGGGCTGCAGCCGCTGAACTTCACTTCACATTGCCTTTCATCTCTCTCTGCTCTCTGCCATTCCCATTTTCGTTTGGACTCTAAATTCTCTGAATGTTGCTATCAGATGTTAAACCTTGAAATTTTACAGTGTTTGCCTTCCATTTCACATTGTTCATTTGAGCACATTCTACTTGGTAGGCACTGAACGATTGCAAAAATGAGACAAGGGGTTTCTTTCAGTCTAACCCTTCCACTTACTCTACTTTTGCTTCTCTGTAAGTGTTTTAGTTTATCTTTGTCCTCTTCATTTTGTCTCTTGGCCTTGCTAAATTTTTTTTTCTTGTGATTTCATTGAAGTTATCAGCTGGGTTTTGGTTTAATTGCTTAATGTTTCATTATTACTTATATAAATTTTTGAAAGTTTCATACTTCCTGTTATTGCTTCACTGTCAGCATTGGTATTTGGTACTTGCCATTTTGAAAATTTTACTGCTTCTATCTACCAAGCAATTGGCATTCCTTTTTCATTTTTGTTTGTTTTCTTTCATTTACATTATGAACATTTTTAGTTGGGTCATTGTGTATAAGCTGTATGTTGGGAATGAAGTTTATGGTGTTGATGGGTACATTTTCATATCATGGTTTCTTGTAGTTTTTGGCTTCGGAATTTGGCATGAAAATATCATTTACTTGAAGGATTGCTCAAGTACAAGGCTGTCTTGTTTGCTCTATGACTAAGTTGGTGTTGTCTACTTAGTATGGTTTGGTTCTGTTTACCCATGTGCAGGTGTATATGAGTCCCGTGGCGGTTCAGTTAGGAATACGGAAGCAATAGCTCCTGATATCTCATCCAGTGTAAACCCTCAGCCTTTTCTTCCTTTACTAGCCCCTTCACCATTGACGGCATTCACAAATTACAGCATCCCGAAATTATCAGGTATGTGAGGTACCAGGGCATGCCATATTACTCCATTTTAGTGTCACAAATACTTGTTGTATATTACCTTGTGATAACTTATCATAAAAGATAGTCTGGGGAGTTTATGCATCAATTAGAGGTTGAAACTTGAAAGCATGAGATATTGGCCAATTCTGATTGTAATATCTTCTAGTAATCCTAATTGATTGCACACTTTGAACAGTTCACTTCATGCAGAAATTTATCGTCACGGGTGAGGAGGAAAATAAATGGATAAAGTTCCACTTAACATGCTTTCAAAGCCTTTCATGCAAATGCTTAACAACTGGACACTTTATGTCATGGAAAATGCGGAGAACAGAACCTAGATTGATTGGTCTTTGTATATTTCAGGACTTTGTACATTAAATTTTTCAGCGGCTGGAAATATGATGAGTGTAACGGCAACTGACTGCTGGGCTTCCTTTGCACCCTTGTTGGCGGATGTGGTTTGTTGTCCTCAATTTGATGCCACCTTAGCGACTCTTATAGGGCAATCCAGTAAATACTCTAGGATGCTCGCTTTGAATGTGACCCATGCAAAGCACTGCCTCTCAGATGTTGAGAAGATCCTAGAGGGTCAAGGAGCAAATGAGAATATTCAAAAGATATGCTCAATTGAACCAGAAACCCTCACTGGAGCTTCTTGTCCTGTTATAGAGGTTGATACATTTGAAAGCACTGTGGATTCTTCAAAACTACTTGGCGCTTGCAGAAAAATTGATCTTGTCAATGAGTGTTGTGACCAAGTTTGCCAGAGTGCCATATTAGATGCTGCTAGAACAATTGCCGCGATTGGTATGCCAAATTCAAAAGGGGTCAATATATTGCCTGAACACTCAACTAGGATTGATGATTGTAAGAATATTGTCCTGCGATGGCTGGCCAGTAACCTTGATCCTTCTTCTGCGAATAAGGTTCTTAGAGGACTTTCAAATTGCAAAGTAAATAAAGGTCAGCACAAAAATACGAAAAGAAAAGAAAAATAAGTCTCTTGTACTTCGTTGAGTATTTGAAAGAATATGACAACCACTATGAAATTAGTACTTACATCCAGTAGACATGTCATTCCATTGTTAGGTTAAGGACAGATTTATCCGGAATTATCAATCCGATGTTGACTTATAGATCTCCATTGTTTTCTCATATGGTTCAGTTTGTCCTCTGGTTTTCCCCAACATGACAAATGTTGTGAAAGAATGTGCAAATGGGATAAGTAATCAGACAGCATGCTGCAAAGCAATGGATAGTTATGTTTCTCAGTTGCAACAACAGAGTTTCATTACAAACTTGCAGGCCTTGAATTGTGCAGCATCACTTGGAGTGAAGTTGCAGAAAGCTAATGTATCCAACAATGTTTATAATCTTTGTCATATAAATCTAAAAGACTTCTCTCTTCAAGGTCAGTTTTGTTATATCAGGTTAAATAAATGACTGCTATAAGTCTATAATCCTATTGCAATTTTTTCTTTTTTCAGAAAATTGAGTACTGATTAGTGTATTATTTTTTGATTTATTATCCGTGGTGGTGGATTTTAATCATTGGCGGCGTCAGTTGGATCACAAGGTAATGCTTAATTCTTAAACAGACAATTAGCCACTTTCAATTGTTTTTACTATGATTTTCACTTCACTTCAACTCTGTTGATTGATAATTTGCAGTTTTACCATAATTTTCTCCCTTATTTATTGGATAGACTTTAATTATTAAATTAGTTGCTATCTCCTTTAATTAGTTCCCCTGTTCTCCTACCATATGATGATAAATGATGGCTTTTTGAATTTTCTGCATAGAATTTTAGGACTTAACAAAAGGGAAGGTATATCAGGCTAAGTATATTCAGTTTCTACTATCATCAAGTCTTTTTATTCTGTTGTTATTAATTAAAACAAGGATTTGGGTGTTTAATCCTCAATGAATCTGCTAATCGATTCTCTACCAACAGACTTATTTCTTGAAAATATTATTACTCTTAGAGTTTTGTATTTATAGATTCCCTTAAGAAATCCTTTTCTTTTGTTCTTTCTATTCTTTCCGCTCTGTTCTTTGATCTAAATTTTTGTCTATTCCATTCATATATGATTAGAATATGGCTGCCTTCTGCCAAGCTTGCCTTCAGATGCAACTTATGATATAACTTTGGGAATCAGCTTCATTTGTGATCTTAATGACAACATTGCGGCTCCATGGCCCTCTTCCTCTTCTGAACATCCATCATCTTGCAAGAAAAGTAAGCTAGACCTGTTAAACTTTACTTTGTCTACTGAATTTTGTTTTTTAGAATCCTTAAGGTTTATTTTCCAGCCATGTTTTTTATGGTGTTTTTTTTATGGGATTACAGCAACCAAACTTCCAGCAGTACCCAAAGCAACATCTGCACAAAGTGGTAAGCAACTTTGATCTACTTTGCTATGTTCAAATGAACCAAATTTCTCTTATTGTGAGATAGAACACACATCTTCCTCCAAATCTTGAAGTAGATCCTTTGTATGGAGAACAACATTTCTACTTTCTTGAATTCTATTGGGTTGCATTTATTTGGAAAATTGAATGATGTGAAACCTGTTTAACTTCCTAGTTCATTTCATACTGAAGACGATCATGCTAACTGCTTTTGGTATTGATAACATATGTATACAATTGAACCAAGTTCATAATGATACATGACTGAGAAACTTAGTCACACAGGCGATTAACAGTAACATTTCGAGGGTATGAAAAGGAACGATGATGCAAAAAGTTGAAAGACCTCTGGACCAAAAAAAAGAAGAAACCACCTAGTTTTGTGTTGCTTTTATCTTTTGGTACCAAACTTGTCCTCTCAGACACGGGGAAGTTTTTTGTTTTTTGTTTTTGTTTCTTTTTAGTAGCTTAGCATGCTTGCAAGACGTCCTCCAGTCACAGTACTTGTTGATGCATTGCAGGTCTTATCAATGAGGATTTGATCTTCCTTTCGATCTTTTCTTCCTTACTGGTTCTGAAGATGCTCCTTTGAAGTTGGCAGCAAAGGTTCTTTCTTTCTTTTTTAGTCATGTGACAACAGCTTTTACATACCTTTTTATACGAGCCCGTTGTAAATCTGAGATTTGGAAAGGACTTGACATTTACAAGTCCAACATGTGTCTCTATGTTTTCATACAAAAGAACGGTAACAGCTGCGATTTTATGCAATAATGTAATGTACCAAAAAACCTCACTGGAGCTTCTCGTCCTGTTATAGAGGTTGATACGTTTGAGAGCACTGTGGATTATTCAAAACTACTTGGCGCTTGCAGAAAAGTTGATCCTGTCAATGAGTGTTGTGACCAAGTTTGCCAGAATGCCATTTTAGATGCTGCTTGAACAATTGCCCCAATTGGTATGCCGAATTCGAAAGGCGTCAATCTATTGCCTGAACACTCAGCTAGGATTGATGATTGTAAAAATATTGTCCTGCGATGGCTGGCCAGCAAGCTTGATCTTTCTTCTGCGAATAAGTTTCTTAGAGGACTTTCAAATTGCAAAGTAAACAAAGGTGAGCAAAAAATAGGAAAAGGAAAGAAGAATAAGTCTCTTGTACGTCGTTGAGTATTCAAAAGAATATGATAACCACTATGAAATGCTTGCTTACATCCAGTAGACATGTCATTCCATTGTTAGGTTAAGGACCGATTTATCCTGAATTATCAACCCCATGTTGACTTATAGATCTTCAATGTTGTTTTCTCATATATATGGTTCAGGTCAGTGTCCTGTGGTTTTCCCCGACATGACATGTGCTGTGAAAGAATGTGCAAATGGGATAAGTACAAGAAAAAAGGTCAGTAATGACCAAATGAATAATTGTCACAAAAATTAATTAATTAAGATGCAATGCCATTGCCAAGGACTCAACGTCAACACGAAGATGATAAAAATACTTGTCAGAAATCTTGTTACATATAAATGAAATTTATGTGTCTCCTATTATTCTTATAGAAAAGGAAGCTAGTAAAAATGTCTTAGGCATCTTCATTAATTTTGAGCAATGTTCGCATTCTAAAATGAATGTTGGTTCACAGTATTGTGCATATGAATTGAATGTTGGTTCACACAAAATGGGAAACATCCGCGCGGCTCTCCTTTTTTTTTTTCAATTTTCATTCCCCTTCCCTTAGAGAAATTATAGAATGCTACAATAGTATGGCCAACTCCTCTCCTATTTTAAATCTTTCCATATTTGTCACACGCCCCATAACCCTCCTTCCTATTTAAACTCTTCCCCCCATCATACTTAATCTGCTCCACTCTTTAGTCATCTCCGCATTAGTCACCAAATATCACCAAATAATGGTGACTATATATTGCCATTTTTTCTTTTGTAGTGACCACAAAATACCCTCACACCAAATTCCCCAAACTTCAAAACACAAATGGCTTCTTCCCTAAATGACATCCACCAGCCTCTGCTACAATCCTATCCACGACCTCCCACCCTAACCACAAAACATGATGAGCATGAGCATGATCATGATCATGATCTCCACTCAAGCAACGAGCTTGAAAGAGTGCTTTCTGACACAGACAGGCCATTTTTGGAGCGTCTTAAACCGGCTCTATGGATTGAGTCCAAGCTCCTTTTCTACCTCGCTGCGCCGGCCGTCATCGTTTACATGATCAACTATGTCATGAGCATGTCCACCCAAATTTTCGCAGGCCACCTTGGTAATCTTGAGCTGGCCGCTGCCTCCCTCGGCAACAATGGCATCCTAATTTTCTCCTATGGACTCTTAGTACGTAATGTTTATCAACAATGTCATATCATTTGGTGAACAAAATTAGTAATATAAATTTAGTGACTCTAGCATTAACGCACATATATGTTACTCATTTTAAATTAATTTCCCAACAGTTAGGCATGGGGAGCGCGGTGGAGACACTTTGTGGGCAAGCATATGGTGCCCACAAGTATGAAATGCTAGGGATATATCTACAAAGGTCAACCATACTCTTAACTTTGGGTGGTGTGCTCCTCACCATCGTCTACATCTACTACAGACCAATCTTGATCCTTCTAGGCCAATCTCCAAGCATTGCATCTGCAGCTGCAATCTACGTCTATGGCCTGATCCCTCAAATCTTTTCCTTTGCTGTCAACTTCCCGATCCAAAAGTTTCTGCAAGCTCAAAGCATAGTGGCCCCAAGCGCCTATATCTCTGCATCAACCCTAGTTTTGCACCTTGTGCTCAGCTGGGTTGTGGTGTACAAGATGGGGCTTGGCTTGCTGGGTGCTGCATTGGTGCTCAGCCTTTCATGGTGGATCACTGTGTTGGCGCAGTTTGTGTACATTGTCAAGAGTAAGAGGTGCAAGAACACATGGAGTGGGTTTAGTTGGCAGGCCTTTAGTGGGTTGCTAGGGTTTTTCAAATTATCTGTGGCTTCCGCTGTGATGCTTTGCCTTGAGACTTGGTACTTTCAGATCCCTGTTTTGCTTGCTGGGTTGCTGCCAAACCCTGAGTTGGCTTTGGACTCTCTCTCAATCTGGTAACCAATTTTTCCTTCTTCTTTTTTAGTTTTGTATGCAATTGACGTGCGCTTGTATTATTTTATTTTATTGCTAATCAATTAAAGGAGAATAGTGGGTCAACCAAATGTCTGGATACCAATTAATATATTTATATTTATGTATTGGTTACCAAATAAATCTAGTTATTTTGACCATACTTACCAACAATATCCTCTAAGAGGAATTTGGGAAGTGTAATCATGTGGTTGTAGGGGCATTTCATGATCTGCACAGAGACCTTTGTCTGTCTTTCGTACAATAGTTGGTATGATTCATGAAACCAAAAAAATAAAATAAAACAATCTGCAATTAATTTAGTACAGAAAGGCACTAGAAAAATGTGATTGTATTTTGTTGAGTTTGTGTTTAGTTTTATTCGTTTGTTTTTTCAATTCATCAACTTAAATTTGATACATGGGTTGCTGAAAATTGATTGCAGCACAACAATATCTGGGTGGGTCTTCATGATCTCAGTTGGGTTAAATGCAGCTGCAAGGTCAGTTTCAAATATTTATGAACATGTCACATAACTAATTAGAAAAATTAGAACTGTTGTATTTTATTTTAACTGTTGATAATTGACTGCAAGTAGTGTGAGAGTGAGCAATGAGCTTGGAGCTGGAAATCCAAAGTCTACAGCATTTTCTGTGGTGGTGGTGACCACAGTCTCTTTCCTCATCTCAATTGTGGCTGCAATAATTGTTCTAATATGGCGAGATATTATAAGCTATGCCTTCACAGAGGGTGAAGCTGTGGCTGCTGCTGTATCTGATCTCTGCCCATTTCTTGCCCTCACCCTCCTCCTTAATGGCATCCAGCCAATCTTGTCAGGTAACTATATGTTAATTGTAATTAAATGTAAATCATTGTGTTGGTTAAGTGAAATCGGCTAATTAGTGTTGTATTATTATGATCATATTAGGTGTTGCTGTTGGGTGTGGATGGCAAGCTTTTGTTGCGTATGTGAATGTGGGGTGCTATTACTTGGTTGGAGTACCATTTGGTGTGCTTCTAGGATTTTACTTCAAATATGGTGCTAAGGTATACTTGGATTAGATTCAACTATATTGGAGACCTAGGGCCGTATTTTCTGATCATTAAGCTAATCGCATGACGCGATTGTTAATTAATTAACATCACTTGTAGCATTACGTGATCAACTAATAACAGCTTGATATTTTCACAGGGAATATGGTTGGGGATGATGGCTGGCACCTTGATGCAAACAGTCATTCTAATATGGGTGACCTATCGGACCGATTGGAAGAAAGAGGTAAGCTACTATTTAAACACGAGCTATTGATATCATAAGGGATCTTAGGTTATTTAAGTTTCACTATATTTTTATTAATATTGAAATGAAATTTTCAATTGAATTGCAGGTGGAAGAAGCAGCTAAAAGGTTGAATAAGTGGGAGGAGGTGAAGGAGCAACTGAAATAAGAAAGCAGTTATGGACAGCAACTCGAGCATTTTCATGTGGCGGAGTGGAAACTCATTTTGGATTGAGCTCTTGTGTGGTCAGATTGAAGATTAGTTAGTTAAACAATGTACTGTAGAATGTTAAATTTCAGAGAGACGTGTCAATGACCCACTACTAACAATACCGATATTGTCCCCAACTTAATCACTTACAAAGCCCAGTAGGTGTGGTATTTTATTATAAAAGGCATTGATATTATTAATAGTTATCATTCATTATATTTTGTATTTTATTTAGTGAAGTTTTCAATGTGGGACTTATATTCTTCAACACGGCCCCTCACATGGGACCACCACATAGTGAGCCACACGTGGAGTCAAGTTCACATCAGAGTCAAATATTCAAGCCCAACATGTAAACATCACGTATTGGGTAAGAGTAAACATTCAAGCCCAACATGTGAATACCACATGCTGGGTAAAGGATAAAGGTAAATGCCCAGTCAATCAACCCACTCTAATACCATGTTAAATTTCAGAGAGATGGGCCAGCGGCCCATTACTAACAACACCGATATTATCCCCAACTTAACTATCTACAAAGCCCATTAGGTGTGGGGTTTTTTTACAAAAAGCCTCGGTATTATTAGTAGTAGAACCATTCATTATATTTTGTATTTTATTTAGTCAAGTTTCTGATATGGGACTTATATTCTTCAACAGAAGAGTTCTGAATTATTTTATTATCTTCCATGAAATAATGGATGGCTATTTCCTAGCTCTCAATGCATCTTTCTCACATATTTTATATAAAAGCTAGTCAGCCAGCCGAGAAATGGGATATCACTGATTTGCTATTCTCACCAAACATAATACGCCACTTGGCATACTGTAATTAGTTCGGGGCAATGTTATACAGTTTGATACGTTTGAGAGCACGGGGGATTCTTCAAAACAACTTGCAGCTTGCAGAAAAAGTTGATCCTGTTTGCCAGAATGCCATATTAGATGCCGCTAGAACAATTGCCGTGATTGGTATGCTAAATTCGAAAGGGGCCAATCTATTGGATTGATGATTGTAAGAATATTGTCCTGCGATGGCTGGCCAGAAACCTCGATCCTTCTTCTGCGAATAAGGTTCTAAGAGGACTTTCAAATTCCAAAGTGAATAAAGTTCAGCACAAAAATAGGAAAAGGAAAGAAAAAAGGTTTTTTAGGTTTTACACATAATTTTTTTTTCACTTTTGGAAAAAGCCAAAGCTTTTTTAAAAAAGACAAAAAAACCACTCAACTTTCAAATCAAAGACATGCAAATGTATTGAATTCATTAGGAAATCTAAAAATAAATAAGGGCATTTTTGTCCATTTTTGCTTCTTTTAAAATTTTTCTCTCTCCTTTTGCTTTTTCCAAAATGTCCCAAAGAAAAATAAGTCTCTTGTACGTGGTTGAGTATTCGAAAGAAAATATGACAACCACTATGAAATGCTTACTTACATTTAGTAGACATGTCATTCCATTGTTAGGTTAAGGACCGATTTATCCGGAATTATCAATCCTATGTTGACTTATATAGATCTTCAATGTTGCTTTCTCATATGGTTCAGTTTGTCCTGTGGTTTTCCCCAACATGACAAATGTTGTGAAAGAATGTGCAAATGGGATAAGTAATCAGACAGCATGCTGCAGAGCAATGGATAGTTATGTTTCTCAGTTGCAACAACAGAGTTTCATTACAAACTTGCAGGCCTTGAATTGTGCAGCATCACTTGCAAGAAAAGTAAGCTAGGATTGTATT